TGGGTGCTGATATTATCTCCCATCAGCCCTACATTGTCTTTCAGCTGCTAATTAGCTACCATTGTAGTTTTGTGGACAATCAGAGATCTTGCTGTCCGACGAGAGTTGCTTCATTTACATCAGATAAAAGGCATAATGGGATGGGATGGATTGTGGCGATGCACATTATGATCCAAAATCTGAGCTCCTGTGCCAACACCATTAGGGTTATTAATTTGGATAAGATAAGCCTTGTAATGATTCATAACCCCCTAAATCTCATCTCATCCATGAATAATTTAGAGGGAATATCGGGTTTATTATCTGTTAGTAGTACACATATGTTCGCTGGCTTTCATTATGCTCTGACTCTCTTGATTAGGTGTAGCGTATAACGTAACAATGGGTATTTAACCTCTGAGGCCTGCGGAAGGCTCTGGAGAACACAGGCAGCCGACGCGCCCAAGTGTGAATAATACGGTAAATTGCCACAACGGTCTGTAATCGAAGTGCACAAACAAGCAGGGTGTGATGAATGCAATTTTCAGATAAGATTGCGGTCTTTTATTTGGCTGGCACTCTGCATCGCTAAAAACATTGTCTACAGAGTTCTTCTGCTTTTTTAGTCCTCATGGTAATTTTGCCCCATCTTCTGTTAGCTAGCAGGCAGCAATATGGCTGTGTGTCCAATTGGAGTGGCCAATAACCACATGAAGATCTGTGTCTTTGTTTATGCTGTGGGCACAACTGTCTTAGTTTGATTTCATCGGAGTGGGCGTTCATAAGTGGATAGACAGCAGACTCATAAATGCATTGTTGAAAAATCAGGAAAAAGTTAGGGCCTACATTTACAGACTTGAAGAATAAATCTAACCTGTGCTTGTCATGTATAGCAATTCTATGGAAGCCTGTAATTGTAAGATAAACTTACAATTTATAAGAAACTTTATAAGGTATGAAGTCAGAACTGGGATATACTGTACACTAAAAGCTTGAGGTTGTTAAGAATGTTTTTGAAAGAAGTCTCTTATGCTCATCATAATACAGTTAAAACAGTAATATTGTGAAATAATATTGCAATATAATACTGTTTTCTGTTTAAATATGTTTTATAAAGTAAATTATTCCTGAAATGGCAAAGCTGACTTTCATCAGCCATTACTTCAGTGTCACGTCATCATGTGCTCAAGAAACATTTCTTATTATTATTATGGGCACTGAGATACCCGGTTGCAATTAGGAGATATCCAATCACAGTTATGAGAAATTGTGTCAATTGTTTCAGTTACCTTTATATTTACAATACTCTGAAGCAGAAATAGATTTCCATATACTGTATACATTATTAAATGTACTACATACAACATAATTTAAATCACTTAGAGCTGTTTTAATAAGTATATTATAGTTCAGTAATGAAGTGCAGAAACACAAAAAAGGTCAGGAAAAAGCGACATTGTAATAATGCCTTACCGGTTATTTAACACTTTTACTACAAAAAGCACACTACCATTTATTTAATGAAGCTCTTAAGTCTATCATTTGAATAGTTTAACATTAATTGTCCCACAAGAGCCACTCGGTGCCTGCGGTGTGCCTAGCCTCACTGGCCCACCTTTCCTATTTTGTTGCGCAAATTAGAAACCTAACTTGCTTTATTGACTGTTGTAATCTCCCTGGACTGCTCAGTGTTTACTGACTAATAGCACGAGGGGAAGGTTATGCATTAGTGATGAAATCTGAAAGCTTGGTGGTTGAGAGTCTTCGGCGATGCTTGCTTTTCAGTCTTAACAGAACAGACTTTGTACTGATAAAACAAAAGCCTGATAGAAATAACAGACTATAGGGACATGCTGCATCTTTTATGAGCAAATGTTTGCGTCATATTAGCTTAATCTCTTTTTTAAATGGATTTTGGGGAGGTTATTTGCGAGCTTTAGCCTGGCGTGACTCTTGTTGTTTGGCTGGTTAGTCGGACGAATGTGAAGGCATTTGCTACTGAAAATATAGGGCTGTTAATGTGCTCCATCAAAATGCAAGCAAAACAAAACCTTTAATAAAACTTTCAGAAAACAGTAGCCAATTTGACTGCCAGGTAACAGATGCAGCCCAACTAATTCATTCAAAACGCCTGGATTTCACCACTACACAGCGACCTTCCTTTGTGAGTCAAAGTCACGCATAATGTTTTCCATTATTTATAAATGCTGTTCTTTTGAAATTTGTTCATGCTAATTTGAGTTAAAGTGTTAGTAATTTAGTTGTGTTTTATGTCATTTTTATTGTTTTTAAACATGTCTTTATAGTTTTTATTAATTTTTATATTAGTTTTAGTTATTTCAGTAAGTTAAGCTAAATAAAAATGAGAAATGTTGCCTTGGAAATGAGTGAAAATAAAATAAGAATTTCATTTTATTTCAGTTAAGTTTTGTGGTTTTAAGTTTTAGTAAATAAATTAATATATTAAAATAGAGAACAGTTATCTTACATTGTAATACTATTTAACAATATTACTGTTTTTACGTTTTTTTAATCATATATATGCAGCATTGGTGAGCATAGAAGACTTCTTTAAAAATAAAATAATCTTACCAACCACAAACTTTTGAATAGTAGTGTACTATATGAACCATTTAACTTTATTGACATGTCACACAGACTTTAGTATGTTACATGTTTTGATGACAGACAGAGAGCATGATTACCATTTTAAAAACGACCATGAGATGCAGATGGCTGTTAAGTGATTCATAATCTACATAAAGTTTCAACTATAAATATTTAATATCAAACTGGGTGACAATATTCAATGTGTATGCTCGTACTCATTCTATTATGCATTATTCAACAACTTTGGAGTGTTTGGAATGGTGGGTAAGTTTTGTATCCAACTATAAATAGGCACAAGATTCTCTTGAAAAAAACACGTGGTAGACCATTAGGACTAATTCAGCTCCATTCTGAACAACCACTTTCATTACATGGAGGTTTGATAAGTTCTAAACAGATCAATGCAATTGGAGCACCATTGTCTGGTCATGTCTTCAACCTCTGCTGGCATGAAAAAAAAGAGGAATGTGAATGAGGGAAAACAGCAGCGCTATTTTTGTACCCAACTATGAAAGGACACACAATTCTCTAAGTCAAAAAGATGCTTGGTAGATCTTGAAGCACATCACTATTAAAATGATCCAAATAGAACCAAAAAGAGTTGAACTGAACTAAAATTACTTCTTGTAAGATTACTTTGCAATAAGGTTCAATTTGTTAACATTAGCCAATGCATTAGCTATCATGAACTAACATTTTTACAGCCTTTTAGTGTTGAGTTATAAACATACATTACAACTGTTCATAGTTATTTCATGTTTGTTCATAATACATTAATGTTAATGAATGTAGCTTGAAATGTTACAAATATGTTAAAATATGTAGAAATGAACATTAACCTACAATATGGTAAACGTATTGCTCACTGTTCATGTTACCTAATAGATTAATGTTATGATGTAACAGTAGCAGCGCTAGATCCTTTCTTCAATATTGTGATTTACATCCAACTATGAATGTATAACCAACCGTTGCTTCACTGGAAGATTAATTGATGATATTTTAATAAAAAATTATACAGTCAAAAAAAAAAAAAACTTGAATGAATCGTTCACAATAAGATCAACTGTAAGCATTGAGAAAATAGGGTAACATTTCATTTCATGCCAACTTGAATGCAAATATACTGAACCTTTGTGCAAACTGTTACCATTCCACTCATCTCAGAACAACCAGTTTCAAAATATGAAGATTTAAGATGATATTGGAACATCATTGTCTAGTAGTCTTTTTCAACCTCATCTAGAATAAAAACAGATGTGAGAATGAAGAGGGAAATGCATGTTACCAAGCCTAAAACAATCACTAATGTTCAATAATACTGAATTATATTATTCTAAATTGAAGGATAATGGCTTAATGCAACCTATGGCAAAGAGTTGAAGGTGTGCACAAAACAAAGTCTTTACATCCATGTTTGACTCACCAGTGTACCTCAGTCTAAACATTTATGTACACTCTAAAAAAGATGGTTCTTTTAAGGTTCTTTACATGTAGGTAATGGTTCTATTTAGAACCATAGCATCCTAAAGAACCCTTTTATGCTGAAACAGTTCTTTGTTATAGAGTTTTTTGTTTTTCAAATCTGAAACTGTCAAAGTCGCCTCATTATTGATTTTCTGGAGTTCAACATTTCATCTAAACAGACTGTCTAGTCTACACCAGGGGTGTCAAACTCAATTCCTGGAGGGCCGGAGCCCTGCAGAGTTTTGTTCCAATCCTGCTCCAACACACTTACCATGTAGTTTTGGAATAAGCCTGAAGGACTTGATTAGTTGGATCAAGTGGGTTTAATTAGGGTTGAATCTAAACTCTGCAGGGCTCCGGCCCTCCAGGAATTGAGTTTGACAACCGTGGTCTACACTCTCAACAAGTAAATTAGTTAATTCTTAAATTTGAATACAAATTTAACTTTAAAATTGTAACTAGTTCATATTCTAGTAACATGTTCTTTTCTTTTTCTTTTTTAGTTTTTTGGTCACATGCAAGTGTGAGCAACTCTGTTAAGCTGAGGAAATTCATTAATAGAGATACTGAATTTATAATCCATATTGTTAGAATGTTTGAGTTATTGGGTTTATGCATAAACATACCCAGTCACAAAAAAACATTAGCGCAATGATGGCATGACTTTGTCAATTGTCATTTATTAATATATTCAGCTAATACTTGTTGTTTAGAGCACTGACATTTTTGCTACAATTTCACATCAATAAAAAAGTACCTAATTCATATAACATGCTGTTGTTGTAAAACACTAATAGAGGTTACAAGATATTATACGACCAGGTAGATAAAGGTGTAAAAAAAAAAAACTGTTTAAATAAATATATAAAATAATATAAATATATAAAATAATAATATAATAATACTGATATTATGTAAATATACTAATATTAATTAGCCGAAGAACCATTTTTCTTAAGCGTGTACTAACTCTCCATGTCCCTCTATGTTAAACACTCGATCAAAATTGCAGTATGTCTGACTTCTTTACTGAGAGGCAACAGTGCTTTGTGGGTTGATTTTTGTGGGTCTTTTTTTCCCCTCATGCACAATGGAAGTGCAACAGACAAGACTCTTGTCTTTCGGTCTCTGTCACTCTTAATTGCCTTCTTTCGGAGAGTGCCCTGTTTTGTTGAGAACAGTATTTAGTTCATTAATGAGGTTTTGTGGCAACTGCCCACTTCTGCTGGGCACCACAGCTTTCTTTTGTGATAGCTGGCTGAGAGCGCTGGGGTCTTGTTGAATTGATAGTCTACGGGAAGACTGGAGTGTCTCATCAATCACCATTTCAAGCCCCGAGACACACAGAGTTCCTTCACCGCTGGCCAATTTATGCATCGAGTCCTGTTGGTTGAACTCATCTGTGGTCATTTGGTTTTGTCTATTTGAACCTGTACTGACGACTGACTTCCCTTTAGCCTGCAGAACGGGGGGAAAGTACATGGACATTCATGGCTATAGGACTCAAAGGCTGTTTTGTATGCAGTGAATAAACTTGATGCCCAATTCCAACAACCATTTTTTTCTGGACAAGTTGACATGGATATGGTTCAACTGACAACAAAGATGGAGATCAAGGCTGATCTACTGCACACTGTGCTGGTCTTTAGAGGCGTTCAATGAAGCAAAACATTCATTAAACAACATTAAATGAAAAGGCTTTTTGAGTATTTGTGACATTTATGTGAGTGTAGAGCAGGTTTAGTGCTGACCTCTCTCTGGTGTTTGGCTGTGCTGGTCTTTGCAGTGCTGTAAGTGGATGTTCTTCCTCTGCTCAGGTTATAAGGTAACAAAGCGCTCTGCTTTAGGTCCCTAGGCCATAAGTCACCGTCATGCTGCAAACACATTTACGTTTAAGCTTTTGCAAGATGCTTTTATCTTAATCAACTTACATCACATTATTTTTTCAGTCTATGCAGGAATCATTCCCATGATCTTGTTGATGCTAGAGTCATGCTTTACTGTTTGAGCTAAAAGGAACAGAGAGGGCAATTTCTAGCCAATCAAATATTTTACAGGTGAACATTACTAAAGAAAACCTTAAGGCAGTGGTTCTCAACGCGCGGCCCGTCACGAATTCAAATGCGGCCCACCATGCTGAACACAATTTTAAAAGGAAATACCAATGTCTGCAAGACAGCAAAAGTACAGAAACTTGTCATAATGTCTACACTACTGTACAAAAGTTTGGGTTGCTTTTTTTAAAGAAATTAATACATTTATTAAGATCGGTACATTAATAATCATTGATCAAAAGTGACACGAAAGACATTTATAATGTTACAAAAGATTTCCATTTCAAATAAATGTAATTTCACATTTCTATCCTTCAAAGAATCCTGACAAAAAAGTATAATGGTTTCCAAAGAAATATTTAGCAGCACAATTGTTTTCAACACAGAAAATAATATGAAATGTCTATTGTGCACCAAATCAACATATTAGAATAATTTCTGAAGGATCATGTGACACTGAATACTGGAGTAATAGCTGCTAAAAAATCAGCTTTGCCATCAGGAATAAATTACATTTTAAAATATATAAAATCATCACATCCTTTTGAATGCTAAGCATTCTAGATTTTCGAACTCATAAAAGTTACAAGTTTACAAAAACAACACATTAAATGCTGAAATTATTTAGTAAACTCCCTTATAATAATGTTTGAGGAATATCATTACAGTACTGCCTTACAAGCACTGCAATTATATTGACTATGATTTTATGAATTTTCATGACATTTCTAGGCCTGGAAGTCAGACTTTTGCCTGATATTTTGATATTTTCCATGACAGTGGGAACTTTGGAAGAAATAGTTTCATACAAAAAATGTCCCTTATTTTTTAAGCTTCAAGTCTCAGGCAAGTGAAATACTTAAAACTTCCATATATTCTCGAGCAGCTCTAACTAACACTAACTTTTTGACCTTAATGATGTAGGAACAAATGTGCTGGAACATTCTGGACCTATTCCTGAGCTAAACACTCACTAAGACAGCTCATACTTTCCACTGTGACTTTATGGCCTTTGAGTTGTTCTTCACGTCTACATCCTCATTTTAGCAGCAGAAGGTCTCATAAGCTTGTTCCTTTACCTACCCAGCACTGCTCGCCAGTTTCTATGGAAACCATGCCAAGCAGAATGCTGGGTGAAATGGAAGCAGCGAGAGGCTAGAAGAGTCTCAGTGCACAGAGTATCAATTAATCTACCTGCATGGATTATTACTTTTAGTATATGTAATAATGAGACACAAAAATATGTACACTGAATTATGGTACATGCCCTCCACTCCTCGTTTACTCTGCCGCTTGAAAATCCCTGCAGCACATCTCTGCGCCCACCTTCCCAGAATAGGAAAAAAAATAAAAACCAAACTGCTTTATTTTTCTTCCTCGTATCAGTTCAAAGCCACAAAAGCAAGAATAAACCTTGACAATGAAAATAGTGAACCTGTGGGAAGTAGATAAGGATGAGGCATTAAGACCGTAGAGAGGGGAAGGAAAAATCTGAGAGGGTTAGAGGATTGGAGGAGGGATCTAAACAATGGCTAAATCATCTACTACAGTACTTCGCTGCCATCTCTTGCCTTTGGTTTAAGTTATTAGCAGTGAATCAGCTGAGTCAGGCCCTCTGTGTGTAGTAGCGCCCGGCTTGTCTAAAGAAGAGTCTTCTGGAACCAGTGTTATTGAGGCAGTCTGCATGACCTTATTTCAGCTAAAAGACCTTTCCGGATAATGTGATTTATACTCATGAAGGATGACCTTGAAAACATTCCCTCAATTCTTAGGGCTAGTTTTCATCTAAACCACTTTCTCTGGGAAAAAGGAAATGCATCGTTAAAATAAAGGACTATAGGGGTATCATGGCCCTAATGAAAGAGAAGTACACTTGTGAATACTAATAATAGCAATGACGGAAATAATAGAACACTGAGAGACTTACGTGTGAAAAGAATGTGATGTTTTTGGATATTTAACAGCATATTAATTGCAATTAGATGAAAATGTAATACATTTTAAATTTACATGAAATGCAGCTGAACTTTAGAGTGCTATTTTGACCCAGTTATGGACATCTTTATGTAATTTCATAATTACCCCTGTTTTTTTTTTAAATATGGTTATGGTTAAGTTTAATGCCAAGTGTACTGGCAGTCATTGATGGAAAACTAATATAACACTAAATATACTTCTATTGAAACATGTATGTGTTGTATTTAGTTATACTTGTAATTACACATTTGTAATAATGAAGCTGCAATTTAGGGTAACACTTTATTTTAAGGTGTCCTTGTTACACGTTACATGTACTTACTATTATAATAACAATTAATTATGCATAATTACATGCACGTAACCCTACGCCAAACCCTAATCCTAACCATATAGTAAGTACATGTAGTTAATTAATATTACTCAGTACTTAAATGTATAATTACACTGTAACAAGGACACCTTAAAATAAAGTATAACCCAATTTAGTCCATTTGAAATATATTAACTTTACATGTAATACTGAATAACACACTACAGTTATAATATAATCAAGTACTTTACATATTCTTTAGAAAGTTAGTCAACTCATTAAAATAAGTGTACTTCATTAAAGCCGGATAAAAAAAGATTATTAAAACCCATGATTTAAATGTAATGTAACACCTAAGTGGCCTTTATTTTATTAACATTATCTGCAAGTGCATTTTTAAAAAAAATTTACCTTTAAAATTTGAAGTACACTACAAGTACACATTTGATTCACTTTTTCACAATGAAGTACTGCAATGGTATTAGATTGTAATACAATGTTCTCCATATTCATGTACTATGGTATTTACAAGGTACTTTCTACTCCAAAAAGAAAAAAAAAACAGTAATATCATGGAACTTTATGGATTTATGAAAAATGCCTAATTTTTGGTTGTTAAATTCGAAATAAGCGGCAACTAAGTTCCAGATGTGGAACAGTATCCATCTAAAAATGACATTGTTACAAATGGGCATGTAAAGAGATTTTTTATAATGTTAACTGCACATTATGAGCACTTAGAAAATGAAGAAAGCTCACCTTCACTCTGATAATGGAGGTGACCCAGTCCTGCTGAGAATCATTCCCTTTACAGCAGAAATACCTTTTTCAGGGAGGACGCAAAGGCATATATTCAGAACACTGAAGCACTCAAAGTGTCCTATTTGAAATTCAGTCATGCAGTTCTGTAGCTCAAGTACTACGCTGTGCAAAACCTTAGCAAGTTTCAGGCTGAAATATAAAAAAAAAAAGAATCTATTATTCAGTTCCAGATCAAAGTTTTTCCTGAAAACCGTGCTGAAGGGTGTGATTGACTGTGCAATTAAGAACAGAGTTAATTGCACTTACCACTGCTGCTTTTCAGTATAAACAGTAAATCCCCAACTGTTGAAAATTAGTCAGAAAAACAACAACAAAAAGTATTCCATTAGTTTCACAGCATTTCATTCAGGTTCTCCACATCAATGTACAGCAATATTCAGCTTTTCCTGATGGCTGCACACACAGTCTGACCCTTGAGAACCTCTAAAGTGCTAAATTCAGCTTAACTTTCATAGCTAGCTGATGAGCATAATAGAAAAGATGACCTATTTTGTTTGTGTAAGATAATTTTATCATCTTTACATGTCCTGCTATACTTTACACTCTTAGAGATGTAACTTTTTTGCTAACCTAGTTCTCGTTAATTTATTCAATTCATGGTTCATACACTGTAACTGATTTTTGTAATTTGAACAGTAGTTTACTGTAATATGTACAGTAAGATACTGTAAAATGTGTATACAGTATTTTACTGTAACCAGCAAAGGATTATGGGGAAATATACGGTCACTACTGTATTTCCTCACTACTGTAAATCAATTTACAGTAGTGAACTTGCCCGCGAAAAACTGACCAATGGCAAGGGAGATTTCTATTTTGACTGTTTGGTTGAAGTGGCCAATCTGGCCATAAAAGGACAAAAGAGAAATACCGTTAACTGGACAAAAAGGATAGTATATTATTTCTGTTTTATGCAAAACTGCGATATTTTAAGATGTTTTCACTTGTTAACAGCAAACTAACATTATTCATCGTGTCATTTTTCATGTCGGGAGTTGGAGCCTTTTTTTCTGACTGACGGCCGGAATGCCGCCAAAAGGCTGATAACATCGACTGGTGAGTAAGTTAAGGTCACCTATATTAGACGAAATAAACCTTAGTTAAACCGAGAAACACGCTGCCAGTAAGTTACTGTAAAATTTACAGCAACCTATTTACAGTGTACTCTAAACCTCGCACATAGCACTTTAATCACTGTGGCTGACAAACAGCTGTTATTTTCACACAACTGGTCACGTAATGAGCATCAAAATATGTTTCTTCAACCTCTGGCACTTTGTCCCTGGTGTTTTTTTTTTATTATTATTATAATTTTTTTTTATTGCCTTTTATATATTCATTTTATGCCTTTACTCTGAAAACCCAGTACAAAAATACGATTTTAAAACTTTATCTCATGAAACAATAAAATAAACCATTTAGTACATATTAATATAACCATTTATATTATTTATATAAATTATTACAACGGTCTCCCACTTTTGACATCACAACACAACAAATACTTTTGCTTATATAAGTTTCATCAAAAGTTATTGTACCTGTGTACCAAGGAGACAACAATAGTTGCGTTTCCATTACCCTTCAAACTGTGCAAACTGAAATTGCAAATTGAAAATACGCCTAATGGAAACACACCAATTTCGCAAATAAACACGTATATCGCTGGCATGAGGTGTATTTTCAGGCAATTCGAAAAAGGAATGTTTCCCAAAACTGCAATTTTTTCACATTTATAGGTCACCTGTTGTATGTAAAAATCACATGATCATTCTTTAAAGATGGTGCAGTTTGTTTGGAAAGAAGATGGGACAGATTTCTTTATTAAACTCATAAAAGCCAAAAGAATTACGGGAATACTGGATTCTAAACAACAAAGAAATTCCACAATTTATCGGAGCAGATATGAGAAACAAAGGCTTCCAGAAACCATGGCAAATATTACGCTCCAAATGGAAAGCTTTTTTTTATTTAAGAAAAGAGAAACCTCTGCAAAAGTGGTGCTGGTGGGAAATGGAAAATAAAATTAAAGTATTTCAACCTAATGGATGAAATGCTTGGCCAGAGACAAATTGTCACATCGATGAGCACAGTTCTGAACAGTATAGGTAGAGCAGCGTGAGAGGAAAAAATTACGTTTTAGTCGCATAACATTGGTTGATGGAAACGCGCCATTTTCGCAATAGTTTTTTATCGACATTTAGAAAATATCGCAAAGGTTTTGCGCAAATCTGTAACGGAAACCAGGCTAGTGTCAGTGAAGAGCTTGTGTAATGAGGGGTCAGAGGCGTGCGGATCCATTTGCAGCTTTTATTAAAATAAATGGCAGAGTCAAACAGGCAGTAATCAATCACCAGCGTCAGGAACAACAGGGGCAATCCAGGAGAGCAAACAGTAACAGAGCGAGGGTCGGGGCAGGCGGCAGAGAATCACATTAGGATGAACAGTCCAAGGTAATACACGAGAGATCAAAAAGACAGGGGATAAACGCTCAGAGATGTTAGCCGTGGCAAAACAAGACTTCGCGAAAACTAAGAGTCTGGATGCTGCTTAAATGGGGAAGCTAAGGGGAAACACCTGTGCCAGTAATCAGTCCCAGGTACGGGGTGTATGGGAAATGTCCAAGTCCAAGAACGCTAGTACTCAGGAGAGGGTGCCCTCCGGAGGCAGTCGGAGAGAACCACAGAGGCCTGACTTGTGACAGCTTGACTGAGATGAAAATATTACATGTGATAAATTCATATCACATTTTGTTTTGTTTTCCAATTAAGCGGTAAAGTCATTTTGCCATAAGTGTGAAAACATTACCAAATTGTGTTTACTAATGGTTGCAAAAAAATAAAAATCAATCTATGAAATTAGCCTTAGAAGAGAGCCAGTGACATGACATGCGAAAAAAATAATAAGAATTTGTTGTCATGGCTTGTTAATTTGTGGCCAAGTATGAATTTATTTTATTTAAATCATGGCCACATTTGATCAAACCATTCCCTTGTTTTAGAAAAAACATGTCTACGTTGTATTAATTATTTTGTTTTCTTGTTTTAATTTAGTTAAATCGTGGCCACAAATTCGTTCCCACAACTTACTAATTTGTGGCCACATATTATTCATTTGTTTTAGTTAAATTGTGGCCATGATGTATTCATTTGTTCCCTTGTTTTAATTTAGCTAAATTATGGCCACTTAATTAATGACCACATTATCTTGGGCCTTTTCCCTGCATGTCATGTGCAGGCTCCAAAAATGTGTAAAATGTAATTTCCACCACAGAATGTTATCAAACAAAATACACCATTTGAAATGTGGTAGAAATGTTCATGACTGTTCCTGTGATGCATATACTGTATGTCCACTGTTGGGATTTGTTAGTAGACAAAGTAAATATGAGAGTGTGGAAATGTAATTTGAGAGAGTTCATTTTCTAGACCAGGGAAAAGTGCCTATAGTTGAAGAAACATCCTCAAATGAACAAAAGCAAAATGCATGTCAATACCTCAAATTAACATTAAAATAAAATAATGTTAAAAACAGATTGAAAGCCATTTAAGGGTAAATGCTATTGCAAGAATCATGCTGTGGATACATTCACAAGGAAAATTGAGAATAAATGATCATTAGCAAAAAAAAAAAAATGCCTGGAGAGTGGACCACCAGAACCGGTTGGAGATGAGTTGAATGGTGGCTGTAATCCCGGGGTGACCTGCGCTGGGGGAGTTATGGACCCATTGCATCACACGATGACGAAGGCTAGTAGGAACATAGGTACGATCAGGAGAACATTCTGGCGGAGGGGGTTCACTGATCTGGGCCTCTGCAATTTCTGTCATAATGTCCCATTGGAAAGGAGCGAGAATGAGGTTAGAGGGGATTATGGGTTCCTTGGAAGGAGGGATCTGAGCTGATTCGAACTGCCTGGAGAGAGCATCTGCCTTTGAATTTTTTGAGCCAGGACGATAGGTTACTTTGAAATTGAAACGAGTGAAAAATAGGGACCATCTTGCCTGCCGTGGATTGAGTCGTTTGGCCGATCTGAGGTACTCGAGGTTGCGGTGATCAGTCAGAACAACAAAGGGAAGTTTGGCCCCCTCCAACCAGTGACGCCATTCCTCCAAGGCTGCTTTCATGGCTAGAAGTTCCCGATCTCCTACATCATAGTTCTGCTCAGCAGAGTTGAGTCTCCGAGAATAGAAGGCACAGGGGAAGAGTTTGGGAGGATTACCCTGACGCTGAGAGAGTATGGCTCCGATGCCTGTGTTGGATGCATCCACCTCCACAAAGAACTCTACTTCAGGGTCAGGATGGTGAAGAATGGGCGCGGAGGTGAAGCGTTCCTTTAATTGTTGAAATGCCATGGTGGCAGATGGTGACCAGAGTAGACGTCGTTTATTTCCTTTTAGCATGGAGGTGAGAGGTGCTGCAATGGAGCTGAAGTCACGAATGAAACGTCTATAGAAATTTGCAAAGCCCAAGAAGCGCTGGAGTTCCTTTACAGTCGTCGGTTGAGGCCAGTTGAGCACAGACTGTACCTTCCTGTCATCCATAGCTACCCCCTCAGCGCTAATGATGTAACCAAGAAAAGAGGTAACTGTCTGGTGGAACTCACATTTCTCAATCTTGGCATATAGCTGGTTGTCAATGAGCCTCTGATGAACTGCCCGCACGTGCTGCACATGTGAGTCCAGGGTATCCGAATAGATCAAGATATCATCAATATAGACTATGACCCCCTGATTCAGCATGTCCCGGAAAACATCGTTAATGAAAGCTTGGAAGACTGAAGGACTGTTTACCAGGCCGAACGGCATAAACGGCATAACATAGTGCCCTGACGTTGTTGAGAAAGCCGTCTTCCACTCGTCTCCCTCCCGAATGCGAAGAATGCGAAT